AAAGATGAATTAGAATGTGATATAAGGATAAAGGGAAAGTCGTGAAAGATGAATTAGAATGTGATATAAGGATAAAGGGAAAGTCGTGAAAGATGAATTAGAATGTGATATAAGGATAAAGGGAAAGTCGCGAAAGATGAATTAGAATGTGATATAAGAATAAAGGGAAAGTCTGAAAGATGAATTAGAATGTGATATAAGGATAAAGGGAAAGTCGTGAAAGATGAATTAGAATGTGATATAAGATAAAGGGAAAGTCGTGAAAGATGAATTAGAATGTGATATAAGGATAAAGGGAAAGCTGTGAAATATGAATTAGAATGTGATATCATCTTTCACGACTTTCCCTTTATCCTTATATCACATTAATTAGAATGTGATATAAGGATAAAGGGAAAGTCGTGAAAGATGAATTAGAATGTGATATAAGGATAAAGGGAAAGCTGTGAAATATGAATTAGAATGTGATATAAGGATAAAGGGAAGTCGTGGAAAATGGATTAAAATGTAATGTAAGGATAAAGGGAAAGTCTTGAAGGATGAATTAGAATGTGATATAAGGATAAAGGGAAAGTCGTGAAAGATGAATTAGAATGTGATATAAGGATAAAGGGAAAGTCGTGAAATATGAAGTAGAATGTGATATAAGGATAAAGGGAAAGTTGTGAAAGATGAAGTAGAATGTGATATAAGGATGAAGGGAAAGTCTTGAAAGATGAATTAGAAGGTGAGATTATTTTTGCTACAAAATATTTCTATGATTTTTTTATTTTTGTCTTGGTAAACTTAAAATTACCAAGATAACTCACAGTTATTAGCTTTCAAATGTTTTCAGGGACGCGGGTTCGAATCCCCGTTCCACCAAACATGCTCGCCCTTTATGCCGTGGGGTCGTTATAATTTGACGGTCGATGTTACTATTCGTTTGTAAAAGAGTAGCCCAAGAGTTGGCGGTAGGTTGTGATGACTAGCCGCCTTCCCTCTAGTCTTTCACTGCTAAATTAGGGACGGCTAGCGCAGATAGCCCTCGTGTAGTTTTGCGCGAAATTCAAAACAAACCAAACAAATCATATGTTCTCATTTCTTACTGAATTTACTGAATTAATTCATCAAGCCATATTATCTATTTGAAGATGGAAGGAGTGAGGCCCACATGGGTTGAAGCGATCATCACGTGGTTTAATGAATGGGCGCACGCGGCAGGTGATCATTTCAATCATTGAACAACCTAAACTTCTAAACAGGAAATGAAGGTACGACCAGCTGTGACAGTTAACGAGGCGTACACTTATTATGCTACCAAGGTCTCGAGAGGCTTAACGTCAATCTCTGGCATTTTATGTCAGGTCTTGAATATACGAGGTTTCTTCCTACATTTCTTAAGGGGAAAATAACTTAACAACTTGTAATGTTTATTCCGTTATGATTTAAACGTGTGAGATTAGGACCACATTAAAAAACAAAGCACCGTAAGAACACGATTTACTTATCTGGGGGTGCAAAGTGACAGGTTAAACAAAAAATGGAGTGTTGAATGATGAAAAGAAAAAGATATACTCCATACAGGGGTGAAACCTTACCGGATCTTTTTACACTAAAATGATGCGATTTTGATTAACGATAATCATGTTATACAAACGGACAAGGAAAGAGAAAATTTTAATTTTTGATTAATAAAAGAAAAAGGTTGCAGAGCAATATATTCATTGCGTATTCGCCTTTTAAGTAATGTTACACCCAATATGATGTAAATATTCTCGACATTCTTAATCTTTACAGTGCCATCTACAATAGTTGTAGTTTATTGTAGAATAAGCCTGAAGGTCTTCTGAAACAGTGGCTGCTAGGTAAGTAATGAAATTAACAAACTATTTAATGTGGTTTTACGTGTATTTCGTGACAGTGAAATTAATAAACTATTTAATGTGGTTTTACGTGTATTTCGTGACAGTGAAATTAATAAACTATTTAATGTGGTTTTACGTGTATTTCGTAACAGTGAAATTAACAAACTATTTTATGTGGTTTTACGTGTATTTCGTGACAGTGAAATTAATAAACTATTTAATGTGGTTTTACGTGTATTTCGTGACAGTGAAATTAATAAACTATTTAATTTGGTTTTACGTGTATTTCGTGACAGTGAAATTAACAAACTATTTAATGTGGTTTTACGTGTATTTCGTGACAGTGAAATTAATAAACTATTTAATGTGGTTTTTACGTGTATTTCGTGACAGTGAAATTAATAAACTATTTAATGTGGTTTTACGTGTATTTCGTGACAGTAAAATTAATCAAACTATTTAATGTGGTTTTACGTATATTTCGTAACAGTGAAATTAATAAACTATTTAATGTGGTTTTACGTGTATTTCGTGACAGTGAAATTAACAAACTATTTAATGTGGTTTTACGTGTATTTCGTGACAGTGAAATTAATAAACTATTTAATGTGGTTTTACGTGTATTTCGTGACACTGAAATTATTAAACTATTTAATGTGGTTTTACGTGTATTTCGTGACAGTGAAATTAACAAACTATTTAATGTGGTTTTACGTGTATTTCGTGACAGTGAAATTAATAAACTATTGAATGTGGTTTTACGTGTATTTCGTGACAGTGAAATTATCAAACTATTTAATGTGGTTTTACGTGTATTTCGTAACAGTAAAAATAACAAACTATTTAATGTGGTTTTACGTGTATTTCGTAACAGTGAAAATAACAAACTATTTAATGTGGTTTTACGTGTATTTCGTAACAGTGA